AGGATCTATAAATTAGATCCCCTATACAGACCATTATAACCCCTAAGTAATAATTATATAGTTTCCCATATGGTTCTAGGGGATCTAATTTTTAGATCCCTTTGGGGGTCTGGGCAGGGCTGCAGATGGAGAATTTAGGGTTGTCTGTACGGTCCTTAGGAATTATTCTTAATTTTTACTATAGTATACCCCAAGGAAATGTCAAACATATTGTATTATGTTGTTAGTTTCATTATAGCTAAAAGGAAACTACAGTTGCAGGGTTTAGGGTTTCCGGGTTTAGGGGGAAATTAGGTTGTAGGGTTCAGGGTTTTAGGGTTGCCGTTTTAGGGTTAAGGTTTTAGGGGTCCTGGTTCAGGATCCAGGGATTGACGATTTGGGTGGTCACGTGTTTTAAGCGTAGGTTGCAAGGCTCAGGGTTGAGGAGTTGTAGGGTTACGCGTTTTGGGGGTAGGGTTAAGCTGGGCCTGCATTTCCCAATGGCTAAGCGTCAATTGGTGGAAAGATTTCCCAATTATAGTCCTGCGAGCTTTCAGGACTTCTCGGTTTGGACGGTTTTACGGTCCAAGCAAGGCTCTCCCCTTGAGATTCCTAACGGTTCCTTCATTTGAGACCTTGGCTTTTCTTATACCAAGATGTTGTGATTTTTTAGTCATGGGAAACCCAAAAGCAGATACCCAGTGGAGCCACCGCTTTTATCTGATCAAGACTCAGGACTACGGCGCAGCCTTCATATAGCCTCGCCTATCCGGGCATGGCTCCAACCTCCGCGATCTCCTATGCATCGCCGATGACCATCAGCGCAGACCCACAGCCGGTACAGTACATCAGTGCACAGCAGCCATATTCAACAGTGTCCCCGCAACCAGTGAGCTACACACCGTACTCTGTGCCCATGACTGCTGCACCCACTACTGCTGCACCAGCCCAGACGGCTCCTGAGGCCGGAGAGTCCTTGCCTTTGGCCGGGCAACCGCTTAGCGCCCCGCTGAGTGCGCCACTGAGCGCCTACAGCGCCACCATCCAGGCACAGCCATTTGAGTATGCGCCCTCCACTTTGGCAGCTCAGCCATATTCATTGGCACAGCCACTGGGGCAGCCACTGTCACAGGCATACCAGGCACCTCCGATCTACACCAGTGCGCCTGTGACATACCCGAGCACCTATGCTCCTTCAGCTACAATCTCCTATGCGGCAGCAGAGGCCCCAGAGCAGCCTCAATACCTGAGTGCACAGCCAGCGCAGCCCGCACAGCCTGCGCCAACCCTTCAGCCAGCGCAGGCAGCGCAGCCTGCGCAGCAAATCCAGCAGCCTTACTCAGTACTTCCGCAGCCAGTGAGCTACTTGCAGGAGCAGCCTGCCCAGAGTCCAATTCAGTACTACCAGCCCTCGCAGCCTTTTGCTGCTGGACCTGCGCAGACACTCCCGAGCGACATGATGGCTCCGGCACCAACATCCTATGCGCCTGCACCAGCCCAGCCGTACCAAGTCATGCAGCCGACTCAGCAACCTCAGCAGCTGAGCTTTACACCTCCGCTCTTGGCTCCATCTCAGGCTTCGCCGTATGGCTTTGGACAGCAGCTGAGCTTCACCCCGCCGCTTATGGCTCCATCTCAGCCTTCGCCCTTTCAGTTTGCAGAAGCTGGCCCGGGCCCAGGAGCAGCTCCCCCTGCCGGAGCAGTGTACGCTGCACCCCCAGCGGCGCCGGCCACGCAGTCGTCATCGTTCCTGCCCGCGCCTGAACTCCCGGCCCCAACCGGTCAGGCCCCTCCGCAGCAAGTTCCTGTGTACGCTGCTCCCATGCGCTCGGCTGCCCCAACTCCAGCTCCTGCACCCGCACCCTCAGCTGCCCCTGCCGCAACCCCGGGCCCAGGCCAGGGAATGTTGTACGCTGCTCCAATCCAGCAGGATGTTGGAATCCCAGGTATGCCAGGCCCAGGTCTCCCTTCGGCTGCACCCTTGTCCTTCACGCCTCCGGCAACCTATGCTCCAGCCGCAGCTGGGCCGGCAAAGCCATACTCTTACACTCCCGCAGTGCAGTACTCCCAGCCTCCCGCAGTGCAGTATAGCTCAGCACCGTATGTGTCTCCCTCTGTGCCCGGCATGCAACAGCTGCCAGCACAATACTATCCTTCTGCAGCCCCTCTGCAGTACTAAGCAGGGCTTTTCAGCGGAGCCAAACATGGGGGGAGGTTTGCTAACAATACGCAAACCGTTTCAGACTTGCAAAGTCACATGGACTTGCGAGATTTTGACGAGTTTGTTTGGGTGGACTGTGGTGGACTGGTCCCACGATACGATCAGTAGCTTCAATGCCTCGCAGCGGCGAAAACCAGGGTGCTCACATGCGAGGTGCTCCCATACTTTAAGATCAAGAAGAGTAAGCAAGCCCAAAAAAGCCATGCTTCGTACATTCAATGGTTGGCTCAAAGACAGAGACGCTCCCGAAGTATCCCTTTCCAGAATAATGAACCCCCAATATGATGACAAAAAGTTCCCACTCAGGAAGGTCGGGGTTCTAAACCCCAAGCCCTAAACCCTAAGCCCTAAACCCTAGACCCTAAACCCTAAACACCTAAACCCTAAGCCCTAAACGCAAAACTGGCGAGGTGACTTATCATGAAGGATTCCAGGGGCCTGTAGGGGTGTGGAGGGTCATGGGTTTAGGGTTTTAGGCTTTAGGGCTCAGGGCTTAGGGTTTAGGTTTAAGGTTTAGGGGGTTAGGGTTTTAGGGCTTAGGGTTTAGGGTTTAGGGGGTAGCAAGTAGTAGGACTACAAGATCAATCATCAGGTATGGGTCATGTGGAGGGTTCCCAAAATTAGCGTCCCATTTTAATGTCCCGGAACACTAGGTGCCGTTACATAACTTTGACCCAGAATAAGGGGCCCATAGTTTTGATAATAACCCATATCATTTCAAGCTCAGTTAGAGCCCTAAACCCTAAACCCACAAACTTAAGTAGCCGCTTTAGCTACAATTCCCTCTCAGGTATCCTTTGCGCGCTTTTGGATATGAGTTTCCTTCTGAACAAAATACAGACGAAGTACCCAAAAGCGAGGAGGGATCACTTGTCTTCGAGTTGAACCCAGAGTGGGGCGCTGCTTGGGTGTCGGGCTAGGATGAGTTAGGTATGCCGACTTCATACCTGCACTGAGTACGCCGGCATCATCCGGCTGCTGCTTGGCTTCCAGAAACTTGCGGATTCACAGCTGGGCTATCGTCGTCAGCATACGTAGTACCTGCGCGGAATGGCCCGGCTGCTATCAAATTAGGTTCAGGAAACTTACAGACTCGTGCGGATGAATGGCTGATGTATCGTGACAGCGCTTGTACAATTATAGTGTAATGTACTTCAAATGGATCAAAATGACATGGGCAACTATTTAGGCCCCTACAATTGGCCATTCTTGCCCTCAGGCAGACCCTAAACCATGAACCCTAAACCCTAAGCCCTAAACCCCAAACCGCGCAGACGTTGCGTTGACTGGCGCCACGCGTAGAAGCTGGACAGGATGACATGAGACGAAGCGGAGATCATTCGCTATGATAAAGGCTTACAGGAGGCTAGTATTGAATAAAGCAATCCATACAAATCTATCTATATGGTTAAAGCTTAGAAGGGAATAATGCAATATGAACACCTATCTATCTATCTATCTATCTATATATATATCTATATATACATATATAGGAGTACTAACCACCAATAAGAGGGGAGTAATATTCCTATTATACTCCTACTATATTCTTGGGGTTCCCTCTTGAGGGGTTCCCGTTATAGTCCCTTTATACGAGCCCAGCAATCCGATCTGACAACCCGGACATGTTAAACTCCTAAACTCTAATCGAACCCCCAGGGGAAGGGACCAGCTGGCATGCTTTCTCCTAATAGGGGATCGCTGGAAGCCCTTTGCAACCCGTACATAACGCAGCCCCCGCTAGCAGTACCTTAAGCGTCCAGAGGGGATACACGTTGGCCCAAGAGTTTCTTTATAGGAAGCCCAAAGTATGTACTATATCCATGCTTTGACACTTAGGGTAAGGAGTTGTCCGTCCTTGCGGACAGGCTCCAGGGCGGCTCTCGCATCAGCCGCGGCTGCCGCGCTCGTGGCTACGCGCCTAGAGCAAAGAAACAACAGTCATGATTGCAGGCGAGTAGCAGCAAAACAGCAGCAGCAGCAGCAGCACCAGCAGCAGTGCCAGAAAGAGAAATAAGAGGAAGAGGAGGCGTAGCAATCGTGACCGGGAAATATGTGGGCAAGTTGGTTAGTTAACTGATTAGTGCGCTCTACGTTTTTCTTCGTGTGGCTCGGTGACAAAGGAAACCCCTGCTACGATACACGTATGGTTAGTACTGCAGTTTTGTGCTGCGGCTTTGGTGCTAGCATCTGCAAGAAGAGTCATCAAAGAAAACATGTTCTTGGGAGCATATCTGGTGTCATAAATAGGATGGCTGTACTTGGAGTTGGCGTTAGCTTTTTTAATGGTTGATTCAGCAGGAACTTCTACCTGAGCTCTTCCCATGTTTCTACAAGTACTCGCTTAATCGGATATCTAGTCCACCCCTATCTGTCGTAGCTAGGCCCTAAACCCTAAACCCTGAGGCCTGCCCCAGGCCTTGAAAGCCAAATTCTATATTCCCTACTAGGGACCACTAAGTAAGGCATAAGCTCTGAACCCTAGACCCTAGACCCTAAACCCTAGACCCTAAACCCTAAACCCTAAACGAGCCCCAAGTGTCAGACACTTGGGCCGTAAATCCCAAAACCCAACCGGGTTGCTGTAAGGAACTGGAACGAGCTGTAGTGGAAATTCCTAAAAGTGGGGTGAGTATGATAGGGTTTAGGGTTAGGGTTATTAAGGGGGATACTGGGAGTTGAAACTATGGCTCAAATGGGTTCCTTTATACAAGCAATCACAAGGAAAAAAGGCACCCTTACTGTAAAATGGTTACTGGTGTACCAGGTATATTAAGCTCCCAAAATGAGGAAGCCGGATTATTCACTGTATTTCTATGTTATGGTAACCAAGCTTGAGTTCCGTAACAGCAGCCTGGCTAATCTCTGGACCCTGTGCTCTGAACCAAGAGACCCAAGCCCTAAACCAATGCCTGAGGTTCGAAGCAGGAAAGGCTCGAATCTTCCAAGAACAAGGCAGAACTTCACTTGCAGAGTATGTCAGGGCAAGTTGTAATTTGTTTTACCGATCTTGCCCGAACTGGTGTGTATGGGAAGTAGTGCCGACATGGCCTTGGTTCACCTTTTGTGGCTAGTAAACGGTGGCCCTCTTTTTTTTCAGGAATCTTAAATTTAAATGGTCACTATAATACATGTCGAAGAGATAGCCAGAAGGGACTCTACAAGGGTTGTGTATGGTAATTAGCTTGTAGCGACAGATTGTTATTGTATTCCTCCTCATAAACAGATAGGGTTACACTTTCAGAGGACTTAAGTCCTTGTGGGGCCCTTCTGGGGATTGCAGCTGAGTTCGGGGGAGTGTATATAGAGTTCAGGATTTCAAAGATCATGGTTTAGGGTCGAGGCCAGAGGACTTAAAGTTTAGAGTGGGTCTTGACTAGGGGCACTACTATAGCTCCGAACACAGAGTGATACACTATTCTGTCTGCGGGCGCTTGTCAGTTATCAGACGGATGTTTTTGTGCTAGTGCGTTGCCGGGCTTACAAGGGGGATATGCGCTCCCTATTGCTGACTCAGTGTTAGAAACAGTATATAGACTCGATGAATTGCATTAAACCCGGTAAGGAAGATACAGTGACAGTTCCGTTTTGCATGAGGAACCTTTTATTCAACCAGCGAACCAGTTTTTCAGAAAGCATGCACCTCCTTGTCATGGCAAGATCATGTCTGGCCAACAAGCGATCAGTCAAATGTGTTCTGACCAAAGAGTCCAAGTACCCAATAACCAGGTATTTTGGGGGTTTGGGCAATATAGTATTTATGATACTGGTTTTGAGTCAAGTATTTGGTTTTTCGGGACTATAGGGCCCTGCAGCTTCGAGTGCTGATCCTTTCCCTGGTAAACTGGCTTGCTGTTAAGGAACTTGAAGCGAAGTTACATGATATGCCCATATGATGGTGACTTAGTCTAGGTTCCTTAAGAGCAGTAAATCTCAAGCCGCAGGTAGGAGCAGATCAGTTTCGAGGCCCTGAATACAGGTCACCCTGAATCCTAGACCCAGAACCCTAAACCCCGTGACTTTACGTGCTACAACCCGGAATCCCCGGTCCTACTTCATAAAAGTTTGGCGGATAGAGGAAGCCTTGCGCCACCTAAGACCTCTACAGTACTGTAAATCCAGAGGTCTATAGGGCCTTCCTCCCTCCAGAGCAACAATGGTCCCCCCTTGAAACTGGGGGTTTGGCGTTGACATGCGTTGGCAGCATAAGGAAACTGCAGATGGCGGCGCATATCTTATCAAGTGAAACCTATTTCCTGAACCCTGAGCCTTTGGGTTTAGGCTTGAGCGAATGAGGGGATGGAATGCAACAAAATGACGATAAGGACTTTTATGAAGACTACAAGTGTGATCCATGCCTCTTTTCCCTACACCCACCAGTCAATACAGCCACTTGGAGGGGGCCATTCTCATGAAGGAGTAGACCTTGCTTGGAGATTCAGGCATGGAAAAGAACGGCTATAATCTCCAAGACACTATATCCTAAGCCTCGAATTAGCAGCTGCTACAAACCCTAATCCCCACACCCTGAACCCTGAAGCTTCAACTCCTAACCGCAGAGCCGCCACACCTCCAAAGCCTCAGCAGGGAAATAACTGTAAACCCTAAGCCCCAAACCCGAAGCCTTAAACCCTAAGCCCTAGAGCCTGAACCCTAGACCCTAAAGCCTAAACCCAAAACCTTTAACCCTTAACCCTAAACCCTTAACCCTTAACCCGTAGCCCTTAAGCCTTAGCCCTTAAGTCTAAGCCCAAAACTCTAACCCTGCACGCAGCAGGGTCGCTTCATCCCCGAGCCAGGTAGAGGCGCGTCGCAGGATATAACTTGGGGGAGTATAGGGGGGGGTAGGGATTTAGGGGATTTAGGGTTTGGAGGTTGAGGGCTTTAAGGGTTTTGGGGTTTGGGGACTAGGGGCTTAGGGTGTAGGGGTTGGGGTTTTAGGGGTTTAGGGCTTAGGG